GCACAGGCCCACGCAACTGCTGGGACTACCCAGACCCCCAAAAGGATCTAAAAATTAGATCCCCTAGAACCATAGGGGAAATTATATAAGGATTATATAGGGATTATAATGGGTCTATATAGGGGATCTAATTTTTAGATCCTCCCAGGGGTCTGGGTAGGATTTAGGGTTGGGGTCCTAAAGTGTTCTGCTGGTTGTTAGTAGGGACTTGGACATCACATGGACAATGAAATGGACGGTGTGAGTTTCTGGGATATGTGTGGTGAAAGGTTTGGGGTCAGTAGTAGGGTGTGTAGCCGCAAAATGAACATGCTTGTTCTATCTACGGTAGCTATATCTTAGGAGCCTCTGCAGTGATCCATTTGACTCTCCAGTATTTTGGGTACATATACCTATAGCCCTGTAAATCCCATATCAACAGTATGGGGGTAGGTGGTGCAAGGTGTCCTCCATGAACACTGTGAGGATGATTGTAGAGCCTTGGGGGTCCCTTTTTGGTGGGGTAGGCGTCCACCCTCTTCAAGCACCTCATAGCCCCACAACAAGAAGCCCAAGGTGTAGAGGAAAACTCAGCATTCCAGCGCAGGAGCTGCATCACGCCCCCAGGCATCGCTGGGATCCTCCAGCCTACCGAAAAAGTTCTGGTTTCAAGGTAAATAAGGGTTTAGGGTTTAAGGTTTAGGGTTTAGGATTAAGGGTTTAGGGTTTAGGGTTTTAGGGTTTAGGGTTTAAGGATAATGAAAAAATGAAAACTACGATTTAGTGTTTAGGGTTTAGGGTTTAGAAGGGAACCTTAGAGGGCTTTGGGGGAGTATCAGAGGGATTCCTAGATGATCCCTTCGGGGATCCACTTGGAGAACTACCATTTCGGGGGTCCCTAAGTTGAGAACTATAGCTTTTGGGGTCTATAGTGGGGTCCCCCTATTTAGGAAACTACCACTGCTCGCAAGACAGTCTCACCATGGGGTTCTACTACCATCTAATCCCTTGTATCTCGCAACCCCAAACCGTGAGGCCGCACCAGGCTTAATAGCTGCAGCAGCACCAAGTCTGGCGCGATCGCAACAGGCACGGTGAGTTCAAAGTGGAAGCTTGAATTGGGAAAACCCGGGTAGGGGTTCTACCGGGTGGCTTGTAGCTCAGGACTTGTTGTTAGGGGTAGGGTTGGAGACTCCTTGAAGGGGCTGTAGAGATTATATAGGGTACGGGGGTTAGGGTTTGCAGGTCAACGTAGAAGCCTGGATAATGATCAAGAATTGAGAATCAAATGGAAAACACAGTTGGACAATACATTGGAAACTCGGCTATGCAGAGAGTTATAGCTCGCTTCATGCAGCAGAGTTCCGTTCTTGGGGGTTGCCAAACAGTCCCAAAACAGGTACACTGAAATGTACCTCAAAGCCCAAGTGTAAGGAGGCCGCCACATTAGGGCTGCGGTTTGGGGGCTTCAGGTTTTCGTGTTGACGCTTTACCCTGGGGGTCCAAGTGACTCATACTCACATACGTACCCGAAACTTTTTTTCCACAATTACAAGTACCCCAAACCCGAGTACCTATTTATTGTGTATTTGGACCGTTGGGTATGGAGTCTTGCCTCTGTTGTGTTGAAGGTCTAGGAGTGCGGGTGCTTTGGTTGATTTGAAAGGGATTGGGTTTGGTTTTAGTTTGGTTTTCATAGGATCAGGTCGTACAGCCCCCCTAGTGTTCGGGTCGTACGATGAATACCCCACCCACGCAATACTATATACGGGTCGGAGTATATACATGATAGGGGGGACCGTTTATGTATAAGGGGAAAGGATTATGAGGAAATTCCCAAATCCTCTTACATTCCGATAATGCGAGAATCACCTAGAGAATCCCACCTCGCGCTTTGTTTGATTCACCAGTATTTGGGAGGGGTTAGAGCTTGCAGATAAACGACAGGGCATCCATTCGAGGAAGTAGGGTTGTAGTGGAGCATCAAATTGAAAAGAAAGTGGTCAATGCAATTGACAACTGCGTTATGTGGGGGCTCCCAGGATAACCTTGTGTGTTTCTCAAAAAGGGTCACCCCTAGGGACATGGGGTTTGTAAGGGTACTTTGAGACATTCCCATGTATATCCTTGAGAAGTATGACTAAGGGCACTTCATTGAGGCTCAAAAAAAATCTACACTCTATCCCCAAGGCTCAAAATAGCCCAAAAGCCTTGTATAGTATGGTCTTTGGGCCCAAACGCCTTAGACTAAGAGTCCCCCTAAACCTCGAACCTAAACCCAAGGGGCATCTATGGAGATTCTCATACCGACCCGTCGTACGACAGAGGTAAGCCGACAGCAACAAAGTCTCGAAGATTCTGAAACTACGGGGTTGCTGTTAAGGAACGCAAATCAAGATGCCATAATATGGGTATATAGCACAAAATGGGGGGGAGGGTCCTTGTTATAGTAACTTAATCCAAGTTCCTTAGCAGCAACCCTGACTAGGCCTTAAATATTCAATGCTTAGCAGGACCCAATTACCCTAAACCCTAAACCGCGTGGACCCCAAACCCTACAGACTCAGCATCCCTGCGTGAATGTAACGCCTGCCAACCCCCCTCGGCTGTTGAGAAGTCACCGTTGGGAAGTCCTGGGAAAATTAGGCTCTTTTCTGGGAGTCCTTAAAATGAGGAATATCCTAGATTAGGGTTTGTTAAGGGCCCTTGATTTATGGAAATCCTTTTTTTCTTGAAGGTGCAGAACCCGGGACCTCGACAAGGAGAACAGGCAGCTGAGCCTGCTTAGGGTGTCTTGGGGATTTTGGGATTCAGGGCTTTGGGGTTAGGGTTGTTAGGGTTTAGGAGTGTTAGGGTTCAGGCCTTTGGGTTTAGAGTTGTGAGGGTTTAGGGCTTAGGGCTCTTAGGGTCTTAGAGTTTAGATCAGGGTTTGGCTTCATTAGGGCTCTGAGCTTCAGGATGAATGGATGCAGTTTCTGCAGATGGGTATGTCTCGAAATGAGGGTTCCCTTTGCCCCCTCCCTCTTTAGGATCCTGATTCTAGATGCTGTCCACTGTCATGGCCCTGTGCTCTTAGATCCCCATGGCTGCTTTTGGCGGATATGGTAGTTTCCCAAATACAAAGAGCTTTAATACAATCCTTTCCCCAATAAGCTGCCCCTAATCTTGGGAAGCCCCCATATAGGGAGACCACACGTCTGAGGCATTTCCAGTTTAGGGTTTGGCTCCCATACTTTCTCGAAATCTTGAAAGTGTACTGTTGTGGCTATAGGGGAATTCTCCAAAACAGGGGTTGCCCCTGTTTTTCCCCAAATATCAGAAGGCTGAGTAAAGGGCAAAGCGGATCTTAAACAGACTGATATGTTCGAAGGCAACATACATGTGGGAAAGATTAAATATATAAAGCTAATTAAGATGGAACCTAGGGGGGTGGTAATGCGGACTTCGGATGACTGAAGGGGGTCGTATTACAGCTAAATC